GAAATGAGAAAATATAGTTTTTGTTTTTTACATTTTCGGTCTTTCTTTGTTTATGGAAAATAAAAAGCGCACATGTGATCAAATACCTCCGAAAGAAAGCTCTATTTGTGTGAAAAAAAAGGACATAATTTTCATTTATGTACAGCATTGCATGATCGCGCAATTGTCAGTTAAATTACTGCAGCGCTGTATAGCAAAAAATAGCGTAAATTGCAGTAACTATACCAAGTTTGTAGATGCTATAACTTTCACACAAAGCAATCAATCTACACATTTTGGGATTTTTTTACCAAAAAACATGTAGCAGAATACATTTTAGCCTCAATTTATGACTAACTTTGAGTTTACTATGTATTTTTTTATAACCAAAAGTAAAAAATATCATTTTTTTTTTTATTTTCAGTCCTTTTTTGTTTATAACACAAAAAATAAAAAGCGCACAGGTGATCAAATATCACCAAAAGAAAATGCTATTTGTGTGAAAAAAGGACATAAATTTTGTTTGGGTACAGCATTACTTTACTGTGCAAATACCCATGGAATTAGTGCAGTGCCGAATAGCAAAAAAAGGCCTGGTCAGGAAGGGGAGTAAATTCTCAGGAGGGCAAGTGGTTAATAACCCCCAGCATTGGTGTCAGTGGAGGCAATAATAGCCTCCAGCACTAGTGTCAGTGCACACATTAATAGCCGCCAGCACTGGTGTCAGTGCACTCATTAATAGCTGCCAGCACTAGTGTCAGTGCACACATTAATAGCCGCCAGCACTGGTGTCAGTGGATGCAATAATAACCCCCAGTGCTAGTGTCAGGGTTCGCATTAGAAACCACCAGAATTGGTATCAGTGGATGCAATAATAGCCTCCAGCACTAGTGTCAGTGCACACATTAATAGCCGCCAGCACTGGTGTCAGTGCACTCATTAATAGCCGCCAGCACTAGTGTCAGTGCACACATTAATAGCCACCAGCACTGGTGTCAGTGGATGCAATAATAACCTCCAGCTCTAGTGTCAGTGCACACATTAACACCTTCTCGCCCGGCCAATAGCAGATTGATGGCAGGGCGAGACACTCGTACTTGTGCATCATATGACGTCCTGTCAAAATGAGCCGCTCACGTGGCCGCGGGGGCCGCGCAGCGGCGCGATCTTTCACCGGCTGTGTCCACGGGATACAGCCGATGACATATCACTACACCAGTCTGTTGCCAGTGTCATGTGACCGCTGTAACCAATCACAGCAGATCACATGTCAATTGTATACAATGGATGGCTTCCTGCCATGCCATCCATTGTATACAATTATGTTGTTAGCTGTGACTGGTCAAGGTAGTCACATAATACAGACAGGGCCAATCGCAGCCCATTTGTATCATGTGATCAGCTTTGTCCAATCACAGCTAATCACAACAAAAGACTGAATGAATCAGTTTCATTCAGTAACAATGATTGCAAATATCAATGAAATACATTGGTATTAGCAATCATAATGTGTTAAAAAAAATCCTGATCACTTGCCCAGAGTAGTTCAATGTTACTATGGTAACTAATTCAGGCCATAGATGGGTCGAAAAACGGCAGATTTTTCTTTTAAAAAACGAAAAAAATCGGTCGTTCAAGCGGCCGACGTTACCATCAATGGTAAAAAAAATCGGCCGATTTTCATCCCGTCTACAGCTGGCAAAAAGTGTCCCTGCAGAGAGCTCCGCTATTTCTTTGACAGTTCTCTGACAGTTCCTTGACATTTATAGAGGTTGCAACAATGTATCTATTTGTTTCCATTTAGGATACAGATGTTTTTATTCGGAAACAAATAGATACAATGCTGCAACCGCTGTAAATGTCAAGGAACTGTCAGAGAACTGTCAAAGAAATAGCGGAGCTCTCTGCAGGGACACTTTTTGCTGGACTGGAATTCCTCTTATTTTCATCCTACTTCTTCTTCTTTCTCTTCTTCATCCTCATCCTCTTCTTCTTCTTCTTTTTCTTCTTCTTCTTCTTCTTCTTCTTCTTCATCCTCATCCTCTTCTTCTTCATCCTCATCCTCTTCTTCTTCTTCTTCTTCATCTTCATCCTCTTCTTCTTCATCATCCTCATCCTCATCTTCTTCTTCTTCATCATCCTCATCCCCTTCTTCTTCATCATCCTTATCCTCTTCTTCTTCTCCATCCTCATCCTCTTATTCTTCTTCTTCTTCTTCTTCATACTCTTCTTCTTTTTCTTCTTCTTCTTCTTCCTCATCTTCTTATTCATCCTCATCCTCTTCTTCATCCTCTTCTCCTTCTTCTTCATCCTCATCCTCTTCTTCTTCTTCTTCTTCTTCCTCATCCTCTTCTTCTTCTCCTTCTTCTTCTTCTTCTTCTTCATCCTCATCCTCATCTTCTTCTTCATCCTCATCTTCTTCTTCCTCATCCTCTTCTTCTTCATCATCCTCATCCTCTTCTTCTTATTCTTCTTCTTCTTCATCCTCATCCTCTTCTTCATCATCATCATCCTCATCCTCTTCTTCTTCATCATCCTCATCCTCTTCTTCGTCATCCTCATCCTCTTCTTCTACTTCTTCTTCTTCATCCTCGACCTCTTCTTCTTCTTCTTCTTCTTCTTCATCCTTATCCTCTTCTTCTTCTTCTTCATCCTCTTCCTCTTCTTCTTCTTTTCTTCTTCTTCTTCCTCATCTTCTTCTTCATCCTCATCCTATTCTTCTTCTTCTTCATCCTCTTCTCCTTCTTCTTCATCCTCATCCTCTTCTTCTTCTTCATCTCATCCTCTTCTTCTTCTTCATCCTCTTCTTCTTCTTCTTCTTCTTCATCCTCACCCTCTTTTTCTTCCTCCTCATCCTCTTCTTCTTCCTCATCCTCTTCTTCTTCTTCTTCATCATCCTCATCCTCTTCTTCATCCTCATGGTCTTCTTCTCCTTCTTCTTCTTCTTCTTCTTCATCATCCTCATCCACATCCTCTTCTTCTTCTTCTTCTTCTTCTTCTTCATCCTCATCTCTTCTTCTTCTTCATCTTCTTCTTCTTTTTCTTCTTCTTCTTCATCCTCTTCTTCATCCTCTTCTTCTTTTTCTTCTTTTTGTCTTCCTCTTGCAGGTCACTGCTCATGCGCAGATTTTTTTATCGGTAAAAAATCGGCTGATTTGCCCACTAATTGCCGCGAAAATCGGCCGATCGGCAAAATCGGACGATTTTTTTTCCAACTTTACCAAAAAAAAAAAAACCGGCCAAAAATACCGAAAAACGGCCGAAACAAATAGCCCACTAACGATCCGAAAATAGCCCGATTTTAATAACGATCCGAAAAATCGGCCGATTTTCGACCCATCTATGGCCTGCATAATGCTGTGGTCACAGTGTGCTGAAAAATAAAATAGTAAAAAAAAAAAAATGTAATAAAAAATAAAAAAAAGAAACATTTGAAAAAAAAATATAAATTCAATTATTATTATTATTTTCACCAAAGAAATGTAGCAGAATACATTTTGACCTAAATGTATGAAGAAATGTTTTTTATTTGCAAAAATTTTATGAAGAAAAGTGCATTTTTTTTTCAAAAGTTTCAGGTGTTTTTTTGTTTTATTTTGCAAAAAGTAAAAAACAAAGTGGTGATAAAATACCACCAAAAGAAAGCTCTATTTGTGTGAAAAAAATGCTAAAAAATTTCATATGGGTACAGTGTTGCATGACCACCAGCAATTGCCAATCAAAGTGTGACAGTGCTGAAAGCTGAAAATTGGCCTGGGCAGGAAGGGGGTATAGGTGCCCAATATTGAAGTGGTTAATAACTGCCAGCACTGGTGTCAGTGGATGCAATAATAACCTCCCATTCTAGTGTCAGTGCACACATTAATAACCACCAGCACTGGTGTCAGTGGATGCAATAATAATCTCCAGCACTAGTGTCAGTGTACACATTATTAACTGCCAACACTGGTGTCAGTGGGTGCAATAATAGCTCTCAGCACTGGGGTCAGTGGATGCAATAATAACCCCAGGGTTAGTGTCAGTGGATGCATTAATAACCCTCAGCATTGGTGTCAGTGGATGCAATAATAACCCCCACAATTAGTGTCACTGGATGCAGTAATAACTCTCAGCATTGGTGTCAGTGGATGCAATAATAACCCCCACAATTAATGTCAGTGGATGCAATAACAACCTTCAGCATTGGTGTCAATGGACACAATAATAACCTTCAGAACTGGTGTCAATGGATGCAATTAGAGATGAGCGAATTATTCAAAAATTCGATTCGGCTGATTCGCCGAATTCGCGGAAATAAATTCGATTTGAGGCGAATATATTCGCTGCGAATTTAACTTATAAAAAGGGTGTTTCTAGGCTTCAGAGAGCCTTTATATTAGTGCAGAACACTGTACCTTTAATTTAAATGCCCTTGGAGTCTGCTGGGGAAGAGAAATAACACTGTCAGTCAGTATGACATGCAGGTGAGTGCCGTCGATCTTAGAATCACCGCACACTTCACTCATTTGGCCAGTCACGGGGCCAAAACCAGAGTGTGGAGCCACAGTGTGGCGGTGGAGGCAGCAGCAATGGGAGGCCATACAGCACCCTATGACAAAATGGAACCCACCAGCAGTGTGAGACAGGGAGACCTGAAAGTGGCACATGGCAGAGTGTGGCGATGGAGACAGCAGCAATGGGAGGCCGTACAGCAGGACCCATGACACACTCTGGACCTGGCAGCAGCATCAGGACGTGGCAGACGACAGAAGCACAATGGGCAGGTGGTTTTACGGGGGCCCAGACAGATTACGGGCCATACACAGGCCTGGCGGAAGCAGCAGTGAGCAGGGCATGGGGCGGTGGATGCAGCAGTATTCGGAAGCCAAACACAGGCCTCGGTTAAAAAGCGGAAGCCGTCAGCAGCTGTGAGCAGACGACAGAAGCACATGGCGCAGGGTGGCGGTGGAGGCAGCAGTATTCAGAAGCCATACACAGGCCTAGGTTAAAAAGCGGAAGCCGTCAGCAGCGTGAGCAGACGACAGAGACACATGGCGCAGGGTGGCGGTGGATGCAGCAGTATTCGGAAGCCAAAACACAGGCCTCGGTTAAAAAGCGGAAGCCGTCAGCAGCGTGAGCAGACGACATAGGCACAAGGCGCAGGGTGGCGGTGGAGGCAGCAGTATTCGGAAGCCAAACACACCAGGCCTCGGTTAAAAAGCGGAAAAGCCGTCAGCAGCGTGAGCAGACGACAGAGGCACATGGCGCAGGGTGGCGGTGGAGGCAGCAGCAATGGAAGGCCATACAGCACCCTATCACAAAATGGAACCCACCAACAGTGTAAGGAGACCTGAAAGTGGCACATGGCGCAGGGTGGCGGTGGAGGCAGCAGTATTCGGAAAGACATACACAGGACTAGGTTAAAAAGCGGAAGCCGTCAGCAGCGTAGCAGTGAGCAGACGACAGAGGCACATGGCGCAGGGTGGCGGTGGATTGCAGCAGTATTCGGAAGCCAAAACACAGGCCTCGGTTAAAAAGCGGAAGCCGTCAGCAGCGTGAGCAGACGACAGGCACATGGCGCAGGGTGGCGGTGGGAGGCAGCAGCAATGGGAGGCCATACAGCACCCTATGACAAAATGGAACCCACCAGCAGTGTGAGGAGACCTGAAAGTGGCACATGGCAGAGTGTGGCGATGGAGACAGCAGCAATGGGAGGCCGTACAGGGACCCATGACACACTCTGGACCTGGCAGCAGCATGAGGAGGCGGGTACAGGGGCCCATGACAGATTACGGGCCTGGCAGCAGCATGAGGAGTCGGTACGGGGGCCCATGGCAGATTACGGGGCCTGGCAGCAGCATGAGGAGGCTGGGTACAGGGGCCCATGGCAGAGTGGCGGAGCGTAAGCAACTAAAAATTGAAGGCCATACAGAGGCCTATGTTAAAAAAAGTCCCCCAGCAGCAGCGTGAGGAGACGACTAATAGTCGTCTCCCCACGCTGCTGCTGGGGGGACTTTTTAACATAGGCCTCTGTATGGCCTTCAATTTAAGCTGCTTACGCTTCGCCACTCTGCCATGGGCCCTGTACCGCCTCCTCTTGCTGCTGCCAGGTCCAGAGTGTGTCATGGGTCCCTCTTACGGCCTCCCATTGCTGCTGACTTCATCGCCAAACTCTGCCATGTGCCACTTTCAGGTCTCCTTACACTGTTGGTGGGTTCCATTTTGTGATAGGGTGCTGTATGGCCTTCCATTGCTGCTGCCTCCACCGCCACCCTGCGCCATGTGCCTCTGTCGTCTGCTCATGCTGCTGACGGCTTCCGCTTTTTTAACCGAGGCCTGTGCTTGGCTTCCGAATACTGCTGCATCACCGCCACCCTGCGCCATGTGTCTCTGTCGTCTGCTCACGCTGCTGACGGCTTCCGCTTTTTAACCTAGGCCTGTGTATGGCTTCAGAATAATGCTGCCTACACCGCCACCCTGCGCCATGTGCCTCTGTCGTCTGCTCACGCTGCTGCCAGGTCCATACTGATTCATGGCCCCCTGTACCGGCTCCTCATGAACGTGGTTCAGCGGGTTTGCATCACTTAACGGCAAATCGTTGACAAACGCTGGGACCGTTCAGTGTTGTGCGCATTAAGCCAGACACCCAAAGGGCAGCACAGACCTGTTATTACTCGCTCAAGCATGGCTGAACAAACCAGTCTCTACCACAAATAGGACCCAGACTGCCCAGGGTCTCGTAAGTAGATTGCACGGAGGAGTAGAGTTCGTGTATTGGAATTAACTGTGAGGGACTTTTAAACCTAGGCCTGTGTATGGCCTTCAATTGAAGCTGCTTCTGCTCCGCCACTCTGCCATTGGACTCTTGATAGTCGTCGACTTTATCAAGAGTCCAATGGCAGAGTGGCGGAGCAGAAGCAGCTTCAATTGAAGGCCATACACAGGCCTAGGTTTAAAAGTCCCTCACAGTTAATTCCAATAACGAACTCTACTCCTCCGTGCAATCTACTTACGAGACCCTGGGCAGGTTACTGGGTCCTATTTGTGGTAGAGACTGGTTTTGTTCAGCCATGCTTGAGCGAGTAATAACAGGTCTGTGCTGCCCTTTGGTGTCTGGCTTAATGCGCACAACACTGAACGTCCCAGCGTTTGTCAAACGATTTGCCGTTAAGTGATGCAAACCCGCTGCTGAACCACGTTCATGAGGAGTCGGGTACAGGGGGCAATGAATCAGTATGGACCTGGCAGCAGCGTGAGCAGACGACAGAGGCACATGGCGCAGAGTGGGGTGGCGGTGTAGGCAGCATTATTCTGAAGCCATACACAGGCCTAGGTTAAAAAGCGGAAGCCGAGAGGATCAGTGCCTGTCAGCAGCGTTGAGCAGTCGACAGAGACACATGGCGCAGGGTCGAGGTGCGGTGGAGTGCAGCAGTATTCGGAAGCCAAAACAGGCCTCGGTTAAAAAGCGGAAGGACAAACCGTCTGCAGCAGGTGTCGCAGACGACAGAGGCACATGGGGCAGTGGCGAGGTTGTGGCGGTTAGGAGGAGGCAGCAGCAATGGAAGGGCCATACAGCAACCCTATCACACAATAGGTAACCCACCAACAGTGTAAGGGAGACCTGAAAAGTGGCACATGGCAGAGTCTGGCGATGAAATGGTCTAGCAGCAATGGAGGCCGTAAAGGACCCATGACACACTCTGGAACCTGGCAGCAGCAAGAGGAGGCGGTACACTGGGGCCCCATGGGCAGAGTGGCGAAGCGTAAGCAGCTTAAATTGAAGGCCATACAGAGGCACTCTATGTTAAAAATAATAACATGTTTGGGCATGATTCATGGCGGATTTAGTCAGTTGTGTCAGGAACTGGTGGTTTGAAATCCAGACTAATCCACGCCTGATTTCATTTTCACAAACTGTATGAGTCTCTCCACACTTGGGGTGGACAGTCGTGTCCTCCGCGGAGTTACAATTACCTCCTGCCGCACTCAAAAAACTCGCGCTCCGATGCCACGCTACTGGCCGGGCATGACAGCCTTTCAAGGGCAAAATTCAGCTAGTTGGGGCCAAAGGTCAAGTTTCGTTGCCCAGTAGTCATAGGGGATTGTCTACCTCGGTTGGCAGGGTGCTGTCCATGTAGGACCGAGCCTGTTGTTTGAGGTCCTGCTCCAGGTCCACCTGATGCTGCTGCTGCTGCTGCGGTGGTTAGTAGTTTCCTCACTGCGCTGGTGAAGAAAAGCTACTCATCATCGACTGCAGACTGAGGCAAGCGCTGCTGGTGGAGCTGCCACTGCTCCTACCACACCCCACCCTCCCCTGCTGCCATGGCAGCGGAACGCGGAGCGCACAGGGCCCACAGTGTCTGAGGTATGGACGTTGGCGCCAGAAATAGGAGAAAGGCAGAGACCAACTGACTACATAGGTTTGGTTTTTATAGTACTGTTATTTTGGCCTCCCTCTCAGCAGGTGTGAAAAAGGCCACCATTTTTTGAACGGTAGCGAGGGTCCAACAAGGTGGACAGCCAAAAGTCATCCACTCTGTCTGATGGTTATTATTCGGCTGTCGCTACGCAAGCAACCGAGCATGCTATGGGCCATTTGTGCCAAGGAATGCGAGGGACTCCTGCCTCCATCTCCACTTGCATACTGCCACGGTGCGGTCTGGGTCCCTCTGTCTACTCCTCCTCCTACTACCAGATGCTCCCTCCTCCTCCACTCCTGTCCGGCTGAGTGGAAAAACCACCCATTTCACTCAATAATTCCTGAGCACCAATGTCCTCCTCTACTCCTCCTCTTCTTCCTGTCCTGCCCCCACAGGGGTCATGTGGCGTTGAGATCTGTGCCGCCACGTCTACCGCACCCTGGACCAGCCATTGTTAACAGCATTTGTTCCAGGACGTGCAACATGAGGAATGACGTCGTTCCATCCCATAGTCCTGCCGACTCACGAACGAATAGCGTGGGCCTACCTCAAAGGGGCCTGAGCAAGCGGCAGGTGGTCACGCGATGAGCTGCCAATGGCTGACATCGAAGTTACACAGGGGAGTACCTTTTATCCGCTTGTAACATCAGGGAAACTCGGTGATGGCCTTTCGCTGTTCGTAAAGGCGGTCTGTCTAACATATGTAGGGTTTTGAATTCCACCTTGTTGCAACGTCGCAGATCAGGCGATGCTGTGGAATTCCGTTCTGCCGCTGCAGCTCAAGGAGGGTGTGCTTTGCCGGGGGTGACTGTAGGAATGGCTGAAATGCATGCAAAGTTTACGTGACATTTTAAGGATGTCTTGCAGTGGGATGGTGGATTTTAGGAACCCGCTTGACAACAGATTGAACACGTGAGCCATGCATGGCGCATGGCACAACCTTCCTTTGACGCAGAGCAGACACCATGTTCTTTCCGTTGTCGGTCAACATGGTTCCGATTTTTCAGTTTGCGCGGAGACAGCCATCTGTCGATTTCTCTGTTCATTACACTCAGAAGTTCCTCCCTGTGTGACTACGTTTCGCCAAGGGCATACCAGGTGCAGCACAGCGTGACACCCGTTTGCGCCCTGCATATGTGATATGCCTGGGTCGGGTAATGGGAACTTTGGGCACGTGGGGGGTGGCGGCTGAGGACAGTACGGCGGGAAGAAGAGGGTGGGTAGAGGCGGACATTCTTCTGCTGGACCAAGGACGTGCAAACGTGGAGGAGGCAAAAGTAAAAAGCGCGGCGTGACCTGTCCAAGGTTGCTGGGTGCGGCTGCGGCTGTGCCGGGCACCACGTCATACTCCAGTGGGCCGTAAATGTCTACCATGTACTGTACCCTGACCGTTAGTGTTTACATCTCCACACGTCCGGCGCTGCCGTGCACTTTGGCAGAGACCGACATGCTCAAAGATTGGCCCACCATCTCTTCTACATGTGTGAATTGCAGGGCTGGCACTGCCTTTTTGGCGAATGAAATGTTCCGGCCTTGGCACCTCTCCACCGTGGCTCGGCACAAGCCTTCATTTCTCGGAAAGGGAAAGGTGCTGAGTCCACCACTTGGAAAGGGAGGGACTGCAAGCAAACCAGCAACATGGACAGGAGGACGTTCAGCTTCTGCACCGTCGGGTGCGTGCTCCGCAAACTGCTAGTCTCTTGGAAACGGATTCGTTATAATTTCCAAGAGGACAGTGCCGAAAAGACTGCTGACGGAATCCGTGGGGAGGAGGAAGAAGGGGGGGAAAGGAAGGGGAAGGAGGAGCATCTGAACGATGTGGAAGATGCCAACAGAGCGACAACTTCCCACTCAGCAGAGGTTTGTTTGGAGCCTTGACTGGCTGATAGAGGCGCGATTGAAGCGTCGGGGGACGGAGCAAGTAACGGAGCGGGTGATGGAGCGGGGGCTGGGCAGGCAGAACCGCCGTATCTTTATCGTACGGTTTTTCCCAGGCCACCAAATGGCGACGCTGCATATGCTGACGCAACGCTGTAGTCCCCAACATGGGCCGGCCCCCCTGGCCATCGCTTGACTTTCTGGCCACGATAGTCGACATACGGCTACGTTTACTTCCTCGGGCTCGGCCTTGACGAAAAAAAAAAAATTGCCACCACTCCGCCGAGAGTAGGAAACTGTTGCCCCCGGTCTTACTACTCACTGGCTTGACATGCTACTTCTCCGTGGACAACACCGGCACCACTACTGGCCGTGGTGGTA